CCCTCAGCAGCAGAGAAGTGTGAGGATGGTGGGAGGAAGAGAGGAGCTGCTCTGGACTTGGCACAGGACCTCGTGCCCATCACCCCGTGCTTCTCAGGGTGGGCAGTTAAAGCACTGTGGTTAATTGGCAATAAATCAAATTAATTTTCCCTAAGTCAAATCTGTTCTGTCCGTTACAGTAACTGCTAGGTGAGCTCCCCATCTTCACCTTGCTTTTCCATCTTATTTTCTCCCCTTCCTGTCGAGAAGGAGCGAAAGAGAGGTTGGGTGGCAGCTGACCAGGGTCGACTTTCCAATGCTGTGTGATTAGAATTAACATATGAGCTGAAACTCATTAAGCAGTTCGACAGAACTAACAAATGCAGGCCCTGCCTGCAAAGAAAAAAAAAAAAAGATGCTCGAAAGTGAAGAAAATTTTATTGGCGTCCTGCTTCAGTGCTTATTATCACCTCACCTTCCCTTTATTTCTCCAAGTTGCAGCTGGACTCCAGTTCTGAAAACTTCTGGAACTGAAATAAAGAGGGAGAAACTGAGTTGTAACGAAAGGACGCGTTGTTCTCAAACAAAAGGTAGGGATGAAGGATTTTATTCTAAGAGTTTGTTCATAATAAATAAAAGACAAATAGTTTCAAGCTGAACTGCCTTGCAAATTAGAGCTTCACTTCAGCTTTTTTTTTTTTTTTTTTTTATGAATCAAAATTTTTTCTTTTATTAAGGGCAGCTGAAATTTCAATTTACTTGTGACTGAATACAGTGCTCCAATCCACAAAAAAATATTCTGTTTATCGGAATGCTTCAGTTTCGGATCATTCTGAGCTAATATTTGCTCAGCTAAGCTAAAAACCAGAGGCGTATTTGTATTTAAGCAAAGCAGAATAATTTCTCCCAATCCTGTACCTGTGTCAGCCCAGGCAGGGCACTGTGGGAGCTGCTGGCTGGTAGAAAGACGAGGCTTTCTCCTTATGAAAAATGCCTGACCAAAAGCAATCCAGCTTGTGTCACCAATGCATTTCTCCCATTTATTTCTTCGATAAATAAATTAACGTTCATTTCAACCTGGACTGCAGCCGTATCGCTGTGCAGGCAGGTAACAGAACACCGACCTTAGGGCACGGATTTCCCAATTCCCACAAACAAAATGACACTCTCCATACAAAATACAAACCCACTGCGCTCCGCTTCTTCAGATCAATTCCCCCTTGTCGCTATCTAACGCAGAAACAACATCCCATGCCTACAGCAGGGGGCTGGATGGGACCCCAGCCCCAGGAACCGAGGGCTGTGGGTCCGTGCCACGATGCTCAGCCCTGCTTCTCCTCCTCGTTTTCCCCCTTGTTGGAAATATCCCAATGATTTATCAGGACGGTATCTGTCCTGATACCGTGAGGATCAGCATGCAATTGCATCCATTGGATGCAGTGATGGGCATCCCGCAAGCACAGAAAGCAGCGTTACGTCTTTTACGCCCTTATCTCTGTTATTATCTCTGTTATTATCTCTATCTATCCCTTCCCTATTGCTTCTCTTTTTCTCCCCTGGCTCCTCGTTGGCCGAGCACTTCAGGATCACAACTTCAGGATTACAACCTTAGGATCACAACCTTCTCGACACTCAACTGAACACACGGATGCTGGACAAACGTGAATTTTTGCCAGCTCAGCATGGATTGCTGATTATTTAACTTCTCACACCTGCTCACTCAACACTCGGTCATTGTTTCTGCACGTCTGCTCGTCCTTGCATAGAGATAAGCTTGGAAGGAGGACAGTGCCTGTGCAGCCTGGGCTGGTGGAGGTTGGTGGCCCTGCATGTGGCAGGGGGTTGGAGATTCGTGATCCTTGAGGTCCCTTCCAACCCTGGCCATTCCTGAGGGCAGTATCCTGATGCCTGCCTGCTGCATCCCAACCCACCCACAGGGCAAGGCAACCCAGCCTTGTGTGGAGGAGCAACCATTGATGATTGCTAAGTCTGTTTTTTCTTTTTGCTGGGGGTCTCTTATCCAAACAGAACAGCCCTACAACGTGCTTTCTGGTCCATAATACCGTACCTATAATATTTGGAACATTTAAAAACTACCGCAGTTTTGCAAGCAAGAATGAATCACATAATGAGCAACTGTATTTCTGAAGTACGTTACTAACGTACGTGGTATTCCTACTTTTCCACATCAGCTATTTCTAAGGACAAGAGAAATTTGTATTACTTGTATTAAGGACACAGGAATTTGTATTATGAAATACAACTACGCTGTGCTCTACTTCTCCAGCTCAATTCCCCCTTTTCCATATGAGGGCAGCTCATGAGACGGAGTGTGAGCAAGGCCACGGGGCTGGATGATGTGCACCCCTAAAAGAGCTGGCTGAGGTGGCTGCTGAGCTGCTCCCCATCGTATCTGAGAAGTCATGGCTCAGGTGAAGTCCCCAGGGTCTGGAAAATGGGAAACATGGCCCCAGCGACAAGGAAGGGAGGAAGGAGGAGCTGGGGAGCTCATGGAGCAGATGCTCCTAGAAGCCACGTTGAGGTCTATGAGGGATGAGCAGCTGATCCGATCAGAGCCTCATCCGAGACTCAGGAATAGCACACATCCATTCATTGAGAGCTCTCTTAGCAGCTCCTGAGCACTCGAAGGCAAACAGCTCCAAATACAAATGCTTTCAAATACAAAATCGTCCACAAAGTGACTCTGGTTGCCTCAATAAAGGCCGGCTGGTTTCACAGTAGGGATCAACATCTTGGCTCAGGACCAGTGTTATCAGTTCAGCAGGAGGATGCGACAAGTGCTGTTCCTCAAGCTCCCCATTTCAGTGTGCGAACAGCCTCTGCTTTTCTCTTAATTCTGTGCTGGATTCGCAGTCGATGAACTTCTCTTAGCGTTTCGCTGCAGGCTGCCAGGCTGTTTCCCTTGGATTTTCACATAGATCGTTTTTGGAAGGGCCACCTGACGGCCAAACAAGTGATGGAAATGAGCCAAATGGGGGAGAAACAGATGGAGGTCAGCCCAAAGTCTCCGTGATGAAGCTGATGGGGAGAAAATGGGGAGAAAGTGAGCATATGAGCACCCCAAATGCTACCGCGCATGCCCAGGGGGACATTAGCATATGTTAATGAGTTCTTGGAAAGAAGGAACGTGTATGCAAATGTAATAATGCATGCGTACACCTCAACTGCCTGTGTCCTGTGATTCTGCTTCAAATACCTCTGAAAATCACTTGGAAGCCTCTTTATGCCCTGCAAACGCCAAAACCACCCCCCTAAAACAGATCAGAACAGTCTGTAACACATCTCCAAACTCCCCATACGTCACCCCGACACCCCAAAACGCATCCAGTTGCCCCCAACACACCTAGACACACCTAAAACACCTCCAAACACACCCAAAGTGCTCCAAAATTCCCCACAGCTCCCTTAAATCACACCCAAATGCCCCCAAATGCCCCCTGAATGATCTTAAAACGCTCCAAAAGACCTTAAAAACAGACACCAGTGCCCCAATAACACACCCCAGAACACGCACGCATCCCTAAAACACCTCAGAAGACACCCAGAGGGCCCCTGAAATACACCCCAACACCCATAAATAACACTAAAACACACCCGGATGCCCCAAAATGCCCCCCAAACACTGCCTTTATCACACTTAGACATCACAGAACACACCCAAATGATCCTAAAACACCCCAGATGGACTCAAAGTACCCCAAAAACACACAAAACGCACACAAACACCCCACTTGTACACCTCAGAACAGCCCAAAACACACTGAAGTACCCCGAAAACACAACCGAGAACTACAAAAGCGCACCTAAACACCCCAAAAACACCCAAAGGCGCCTGAAGTGCCCCTGAAATACCAAAATACACCCTTACATCGCACCCCAAATCCCCCAAACACACCCTCCTACCCCTCCCCTACACCCCAGCAACCCCGCAGCAATGCACCAACTCCTGCAAACACGCCACAGGAACAGGAAACGGGGAGAAACGGGGGAAGCTGAGGATACGTGAGGATAAATAGAGAAGAAATTGGGATAAATGAGGGGAAATGGAGAACGCATGGGGATAAATGGAGAACGGATTGGAGGATAATGGGGAGAAATGGAGAGAAACTGGGGAAATAAAACGGAGATCCGTGAGGGATAAATGGAGAGAAAGGGGTCCGAATTGGGGCAGAGGGGACAACGAGGGGGGGGATGAAAGAAATCGGCGGGGGGGCAGACGGGCGAGGTGGGAGAAGGGGAGGGATTCGAACCCGCGGTCCTGAACTCCCATGGCCACGCCCCCTCCCTTGCGACCACGCCCTCTCGTGACCACGCCCCCTCAACCGTGGCCACGCCCCCCAGGAGCCTTTCCTGCCGGGCGGGGCTGTGGCGGCGCGCGGTAGCGTGGCCGAGCGGTCCAAGGCGCTGGATTTAGGCTCCAGTCCCCGAGGGGACGTGGGTTCGAATCCCACCGCTGCCAGCGGGGCGCGGCGCCCGCTTTTGTGCCCCCCCCAATTCTAAATATCATACGGTGAGGGGGGTTCCACTATTGTGCCCCCCACCCTCCCAAGGTCCCGGAGGTACCACGTGGTGAGGGGGGGAGGACTGCCACTTTTGTGCCCTCCCGGTCCCCCCAAGGTCCTGGATGGTCACACAGTGTGTGTGGGGGGGGTCCCACATTTGTGCCTCCCCCCTCCAAAAGCTCTGGGGATCCCAGTTTTGTGCCCCACTCCCCCCTGAAGATCCTGGGTGCATCACACGGTGCTCAGGGCGGGGTCCCCACTTTTGTGACCACCTCTCCCACATCCAAGGTCCCAGAGTTCCCAATATTGTTTCTCTCCCCCCCTTCCAGAGACGCTGGTGGGGGGTCACACAGTTTGAGGGGGGGCTCCCACTTTCGTGCTCCCCCACAAAGGTCCTGGAGGGTCATACAGCACAGGGGTGAGGGGTCCCATCCTGGGGATGTTGTACAATTCAGGGGGGGGGGGGGGGGGGGCACAGATGGGCACACACCAAGGAAGTGAAAATCAGTAAAACCTTTTATTATTTCCCCCGAAAGCGGAATTACAACAATTTCTCCCCAAGTAACACAAAAAGAACCGAAGTAAATGAAGGGGTGGGGGGAGAAGCAAAAAAACAGGCTCCCCCCACCCCAAAACCACCACCATTGCTGTGGGGTGCATCACAACACCCACTCCCCCCCCCCAATTACCCTCATCTGTCTCCCACTCATTAACTAATGACACTCCCCAATTAACACACATCCCCCTTCCCCCCCACCCTGTTCAATTCCCACAGGGCTGCATCCGCAGCCCCCCCCCCACACACACACTTGGGGGTTAGCCCCACAACCTAAGAGGGACCCCCACGCTCAATTGTCGTCGTCGCTGTCGTCGGGGCTGATGGCTGGGCTGGTCAGGCTGTAGGTGGGCGACGTGGGGCTGTAGCCCGGTGATGTGGGGCTGTAGGTGGAGCCCTTGGGGCTGGTGGGGCTGTAGGTGGGCGAGGTGGGGCTGTACTTGGGGCTGGTTGGGCTGTAGGTTGGTGAGGTGGGGCTGTACTTGGGGCTGGTGGGAGTGTAAACGGGTGAGGTGGGGCTGTAGGTGGGCGAGGTGGGGCTGTATTTGGGGGTGGTCGGGCTGTAGGTGGGCGAGGTGGGGCTGTACTTGGGGCTGGTGGGGCTGTACTTCGGCGAGGTGGGGCTGTACTTGGGGCTGGTCGGGGTGTACTCGGGAGAGCTGGGGCTGTAGGAGGGGCTGGTTGGGGTGTACTTGGGGGAGGATGGGCTGTAGCTGGGGCTGCTGGGGCTGTAGCTGGGGCTGCTGGGGGTGTAGGTGGGCGACTGTGGGGTGTAGCGGGGGCTGGAGGGGGAGTAGCTGGGAGATGTGGGGCTGTAGCTCGGGGAGGTGGGACTGTAGCTGGGGGAGGTGGGACTGTAGTTGGGGGAGGTTGGGGTGTAATTGGGAGAGGTTGGGCTGTAGCTGGGAGAAGTCGGGCTGTAACTGGGACTGGTTGGGGTGTAGTTGGGGGACGTGGGGCTGTAGTTGGGGCTGGTGGGGCTGTAACTGGGCGAAGTCGGGCTGTAGCTCGGGCTGGTGGGGCTGTAGCTTGGAGAAGTCGGGCTGTAGCTGGGCGAGGTTGGGCTGTAGCTTGGAGAAGTCGGGCTGTAACTGGGCGAGGTTGGGCTGTAGCTTGGAGAAGTGGGACTGTAACTGGGAGAAGTGGGGCTGTAGCTTGGAGAAGTGGGGCTGTAACTGGGCGAGGTGGGGCTGTAGCTTGGAGAAGTGGGGCTGTAACTGGGAGAAGTGGGGCTGTAACTGGGCGAGGTTGGGCTGTAGCTGGGGCTGGTGGGGCTGTAGCTTGGCGAAGTAGGGCTGTAGTTGGGGCTGGTGGGGCTGTAGCTGGGTGATGTTGGACTGTAGCTCGGAGAGGTGGGGCTGTAGCTGGGGCTCTGTGGGGTGTAGCCCCCAGGTGAGCGTGGCTCGTAGGCAGGTGATGTGGGGCTGTAGCTGGGGGACATGGCCCCACCTGTAAAGCCACAAAGCAGAGTGGGGGTGAGTAAGGAGTCCGGGGGCATCCCGGTGCTGGGGGTTCCCTGGTGGGTGGGAGCACTGACCTGGGGAGGGGATGTAGGGGCTGGAGGGCCCTGGGGATCCAGGGGAGCCAGGAGTGGGTGACCAGGCAGGTGAGTAACCGGGGCTGAAACCGCTGGCGTCTGAAGCAGCGCTGGGGGAGAAGCCAGCCCCCCCGGGGGTCATGCCGCTGCCTGGGGGGGGGAAGAGAGAGAGAAAGGGGTCAGGGGAACCGGGGGGAGAGGATGGTGCAGAAAGACACCCCACGTGAGATCACCCCATGCCTGATCCATAGAGTCCAGCAGCTCCCCATGACCCTGGCCCACAGCCCCCCCCAGTCCTCCATGCATCCCAGAGACCTCCAGAAGGCCCCCCCCACCCTACCCCCCACTGCTCCCCATGTATCCCCAGAAGCCTCCCCCCACCCCTGCACCCCAGAGACCCCCAGGAGCACCCCCACCCTGCCTCACTGCCCTCCATGCACCCTAGGGACCCCCTAGGAGACCCCCATCCTCACCCCCACATTGT